AAATAAACTCATCGAATTCTCATTGTGTTTCACAGCTCCCAACCGAAACTCGCGAAATAATAGATAAAATGCGTGATGGTGTAGACATGTTACGTAACAACACTAATAACATACTATCTTCTGATGAGCTACACATACCTCGTTCAAACGTGTCATCGGAGCCGAAAGGGAATGCAAAGGTCTCGGTACTAATACAACATGACAGTCTTCAAAAAACTGACACCTTGGATGGTGCGAGTAACGAAGCGGTGAATTCCTCTACACCTCGCCAAAATTTGGATAGTTCAGATAGCACGTCACAAATTTCAAATTTCCCAGCTCAAATCGACAATATTATTAATCCGCAAATTTCAAATGATGTTGTTTCCGTCTCTAACCAAATGAGCATCAGCGTGCCCAACTTAACGACATCTTCGGAAGTATCATCAACGTCAGAAGTGGCAGTACATACTGGTTTATTAGAAACATTCACAGCGATTGCGCGTCGTCGGACTTCACAAGATACCAACAATGATATTGGAAATCAGTCAAACAACACGAATGTTAATAAAAACGAACATAGTAATCAGAACGTAGGAGCAAGCTCATTTTTTGCCAGAGGACCCAACTCTGTAACAAGCTTAGTAAAGTTGGCTTTATCGAGTAATTTTCATTCCGGTTTATTAAGCACAGCGCAAAGCTATCCTAGTCTTTCATCTAATAATGGAGACAACACTTCATCATCGAATCCCACTAATAAAAAAGTTAGTCAACAGGCGACATCATCTGTTAATCCAACGTTAACAATGAGCTTAACTTCTACTTCGAGTGATAGTGAACAAGTGTCTCTAGAAGACTTTTTAGAAAGCTGCAGAGCCCCCACATTGCTGGGCGACATGGAAGATGAAGATGATATGGAGGAAGAAAATGACGAAGAAGAAAACGAGGATGAGTATGAAGAAGTGGGAAACACACTTTTACAAGTTATGGTTTCGCGAAATCTTTTAACATTTATGGATGATGAATCCTTGGAAAATAGATTGGCAGGTGTAAGCAAGCGCAAATCATGGGATGACGAATTTGTTTTAAAAAGGCAGTTTTCCGCCTTAATACCTGCTTTCGATCCCAGGCCGGGTCGTACAAATGTGAATCAAACTTCTGATTTGGAAATTTGTGCGCCAGACACAAACTTGGAAAACTTTCAGCAAAGCGGGCAAATAACTGCTGATCAGACAATGCTCGGCTTGAAATTACGTGGCCCAGGTGTGGGAGGAGTTCCAGATGTTGAAATTGACTTGGATAATAGTGAGTGGACTATATTTCGAGCCGTACAGGAACTGCTTCAAAATAGTCAAATGAATAAAAATGATAAATTTCGCAAATTATGGGAACCAACATACACAATTGTTTATAGAGAAACATTTCCAACAGTTAAAGAATCTACATATATGGAATCAGAAGAAGGTCAAAAAACGCCAGGAGTTTCATCTAGAAGCGGAGCTTCTACACTATCTCCTAATTCCCCGGTGCATGGAGGATTGAGCATTACAGATAATACTTTATGCTCCGTTGAGGACGTTCTTGAATTGCTAACCCAAATCAACGCACTCAATCAATGTGAAATTGAAAGCGGAGTTCAGTGCACCAATTCACCGAAACGTTCCTTTTTACCAGCTGAGCTATTCATGAGCAAAAAAATTACCAATAAATTACAACAACAAATTCACGATCCTCTCGTTCTTTCAAGTAACGCACTTCCCAATTGGTGCGAAGATTTAAATCAGTCTTGCCCATTTTTATTCCCATTTGAAACTAGACAATTATATTTTAACTGTACTGCATTCGGAGCATCTAGAAGCATTGTTTGTTTACAATCTCAACGTGATATTACAACAGAGCGGCAAAGGATTCCTATTATGAGTCCGCGTCGAGACGATCAGCACGACTTCCGAGTTGGACGTTTAAAGCACGAGCGGGTCAAAGTTCCACGAAATAAGGATTTACTAAAATGGGCTATTCAAGTCATGAAAGCTCATTGTAATCGAAAGTCTGTACTTGAAGTCGAATTTTTGGATGAAGAAGGCACAGGATTGGGACCAACACTTGAATTCTATGCTTTAGTAGCTGCAGAAATTCAACGAGCGGATTTGTGTATGTGGCTTTGTGACGATGATTTAACCGAAGCTCAAGACACACCTCAATTTCACAATATTGAAGACACTTCAAAACCAATAGGCTATTATGTTAACAGGCGCGAGCATGGATTATTCCCAGCACCTCTGCCACAAAATTCCGAACTATGTGAGCAGGTATCGAAGTATTTTTGGTTCTTTGGAGTTTTCATAGCTAAAGTTTTGCAGGATATGCGACTTGTTGATATGCCTTTGTCAAAATCCTTTCTACAATTACTTTGTCACAACAAAGTATTATCACGAAATGATTTAAAGCTCAAAGCCAATACACATTTCCAAGATCTGATGGCGAGCTCAGTTGCTTCAAAAGATTCCGAGTTTGCAAATACATATTCTCAAGTTTTAAACGAGGATTTTACACAGTTCAACTGGTTTAGTGGAATTCTAAACATTGAAAACCTAAGAGAAATCGATCCAACGCGCTATCAATTTTTAATTGAACTACAAGACTTGTTAATGCGTAAACAAGCAATTGATTTAGATGAAAGTCTAAACATGGAAGAAAAATGTGAATTGGTTAAGAATCTTAAATTGCGCACTAAAAATAATTTAGAAGTATCACTGGACGATTTGGCCCTTTCCTTTACATATTTACCTAGCTCGTCTGTGTATGGATACACATATGCAGAGCTTATTCCAAATGGTTATGCAACTGAAGTCAATATAAATAATCTAGAAGCATATTGTGAATTGCTTCTCAACTTTATGTTACACGATGGTATTGCCAAGCAAATGCAGGCATTTCATGACGGGTTTTGCGAAGTTTTTCCTTTGACTAAACTAGCCGCATTTAATCCATCCGAGGCTAGAATGATGATATGTGGCGAGCAATATCCCCAATGGAACCGCGAAGATCTAATGGCGTACACCGAGCCAAAACTGGGTTACTCCAAAGATAGGTATGGCTTCAATCACTTCAATTTTAATGCTTTTCTAATTAAATTCTTATTGTTTAGTCCTGGATTTTTACGTTTTGTTAACGTTCTGTTAAGCTTATCGGGAACTGAACGTAAAGCTTTTTTGCAATTTACCACTGGCTGTAGTAGCCTGCCTCCAGGAGGATTAGCCAATTTACATCCCAGACTTACAGTTGTACGCAAAGTTGATGCTGGACAAGGAAGTTATCCATCAGTGAACACTTGTGTTCATTACTTGAAACTTCCCGACTACCCGTCTGAGGAAATAATGAAGGATCGACTATTAACAGCAACTAAGGAGAAAGGTTTTCACTTAAATTAAAAAAGTATGTTTATTTACATTGTTAATTAAAATTTGAACCGGTTTAGATATTTTAAAAAATCTAAAAATATGTAAATACTAAACGTTCTGGTAAATAACAATTGCAATTAATGTCCGAAACATTGTAAAACAATAATTGCTTAGTTATAAATTCAACTAAAAAGAAAATTAGTCGGATAATTACTTATTTTAATAAATTGCCTTGATGTTAAATATTGGATTCTGAGAAAGGCTAAACATATAGGACAAACAAAAGACAAGAGGCAGGTGCCATTGAGGCGTCACGTAGTCCGCGACTCAATCATCTTAGTCAAGAAGAGACGGGAGTGTGGCGCATGTGCATCGACTACCGATAACTCAACGCGCACTTCATTCCGGGCGCTTACCCTGTCCCTCGGATCAATTATCTCAGGGAGACGTTGCTCTATCCTGGACATGTAATTAGCGGAAAGTGAAAGAATGTGATAACGAGCCGATCTGGAGAAGGTAGAGGCGATACGTAGCCTTAGGGCCCTGACTAATTTTTATTTTAAATTGTAATTTAATGATCATAGGGTAAGGAGCAGGAGAAAGCATTGCGTCCATTGAAGGACAACTTGAAAAATGCCTCTGTGTTGGCTTGCCCTGACTTTTCTCACAAATGTTTCGCGAATATGCTTGCTAGGATCGCCGAAGAGCCGGCCAAGTTTTCCAACTATATAGGGGAAAATTGGCAACTGTATAGACATTTGGGCCATCGGTCAGATGAAAAAGACTACATTCCCAGGAAACTGTGAGTAGCCAATGATCAACGACAGAGGATGCTGCGGGAATGTCATGAAGCTCCCACGGCTGGACACCAAGGCGTAAGTAAAACAGTTTTAATATTAGCCCCAATTATGTTTTGCGACACCGCCAAGTATGTGAAGTATTGCGAACTTTGCCGGAAGCTTAAGACCAAACAACTCAAGCCGGCAGTCGCATAGTAACGAGATAGGAGGTTCTCTGTGCAAGTCAGAGCCAAAAAAAAGGGCATAATGTATTTGTGCACATGTTTGTTACAGGCAAAAGGAAGCATTTCCGACCAAATCTTAATCAGCAACCGAGCCAATCTAACAATGTCCGTCCGTATGTATGAACGCAGGTCAACGTAGGTCCTACTAGTTCCCGCGCAGTACGAGTCTGTTTCTGATAATCGATAACTTGTTCCGTTTCCAAGCAATCGATAAAAATCGATATCGAAATCCTATTTTTTGAGCAAATCTCGTGAATGTTAGAGACGTCTGTGATCTCATCAGGCATTGTACACTGAGATACCATATTAAAAGCCCACGTTCCAAGTGAATACCCTACCAGATTTACACGATATGTGCGCAATAGCAAACTTCAAAGGTATATGAGCTTAACGAAAAGCCAAATTATTTCTGACGGCGGTAAACTACCGTCTAAGAACCATACAAATTTACTAGCGGTCGCTTTATGCTGCTTACCAGCTCGTCGTCAGACCGACAGGTATTTAATGTTTTTTTTTTTAGCTTCATGCTTTTAAATCAAATTTGAATGAAGCCAAGACCCTAATCAATAAAATAGGTAATATTGCATTATTTTAAGTTTTTTATTGGTTCAAAATATATTTGAAAATTAAAAAAAAAATCATTAATGGTACATCATAACATCAGTGCTTTGGTACATACACATATACGCGTCGCAAAACAGACGCTTCGCGTGCTCAGGTAAGTCTTTGTCCTTCACGGACCTTTCATTAATGTGTCGGGCGCCCTCGTCAGATAACCACTTAGGCAATTCTCGAACGGATATCATTTCAGGTATATTATATCCGTTTTTTTCACCTATAGAATAAGTAAATATAAGAATTATTATTTCATTTTAAAAACAAAAAATATATTAGAACGTGCATAGAAAATTCTTTCATGAATTTGTCAAAATATACTTCGATATAAAATAGAGCATAGAAGTCGTCGTTGTAGCGAGTCGATATAGCCATGTCCGTCTGAGCGATTGTCAACTTTTTTCTACACAAGTTAGTCTGTTGGTCTTAAGTATAAAAAAATCCTAATACAGTCCAAACGGTACGAGCTGCAAGGCTTCTTATAACTATTTGACCTGCTATAAGCTACAACAATAAATAAAAATGTACTATTACCAAATTACCTTTTCTATCTGCCATTGAATCAAAAAAGCACCATGGAGCATCTGGTCCCGAGCCTGCTTTCACGAATGCTACATAATGCGAAGTTTCTATACATACAACGGCAAATAGATCCATGTAAAGTCTTGGTAGAATCATGTGATCGGCCATTACTTTAAAGTCTCTTGGCACAGAAAGTTTTTTAGATTTGTGGTTGGCTCTGAAAATATGTAAAGCATGTTTGTCAAAGCGTAATTAATAATTTAAAACTAACCTTTTTGCATGCATGTGAATTGTATTAAGGCATTTTTGACAAAAGGCTGTGCAATCAAGGCCAGAGCCTGCCTGCAAAGAACCAAAACATTCGCGGCATTCGTATTCGGCAAGGTTTCCACAAACGGTGCACTCACGGGGTGCTAATTTAATATAAAAAGGAAATTAAAATAACATCAACTTAAAGTTTATTTGTTTAAATCCTGTATAGAGCGCTAATAACTCTAGCTTTAAAAATTAAGAGCTGTGCAAAAAAACACATTTTTGTGAACTTAGTTTTGTCTTCTGCTTGGTTTCAAAATCATTTTTATCCATCTCTGTAAAAAACTTCGACTTTTGGTTCTGAATTCTGAATTGAAGCAACATCAAGCCTGTCTTGGGGTTTACTTGTTGTTGTTGGACTGCCACGTTCACAATTCTTTTCTTTGAGAATCGAAAAAAAGCATTTGTACTATTTCTTTTAAACTTACAATCTTCAATTATATTTGTAATATCCAGAAATTGGGATGGTAAAATTCGAGGATACATTTTGTAGCTCTTTCCAAAACGAGGCATTTGAATTATGAGACAAGATGGAACTTCTTTCAATTTTATATCGGACGAGTGAAAGCTTTGTTCGAAAAGTTGCTGCACCGTCGGAAATGTCAATCGCTCATCTTTCTCTACAAACAGTTGATAAAAATAAGAATCTTGTCCAGAGCTTAGCTGAAAGAAACAAATTCATATATATTTTTATAATATTTAAATATATTATAAAAAGTTAAACGTACTTTTAAAAACGGTTCCACTTTCATTATTTGGGATAACAAACTGTTTAAAAACTCTTCTGGATCTTTTTCCTCGCTGGTTAAACCACTTACGGAACTAAGTTGATCCAAAAATTTACGCAGTTTCATGACACGATCAGCACGAACGAAAACATTCTTTCGCAATGGATTGACTATCTCATCACGTAAAACGTTTTGAACAGCCCTATAATGCGAAATATCCTATAAAAAAAAATAAATAAATAATATAAGAAATTTGTTATTTAGAGGTTTACAATTACCTGAGGGTCGGGCCTTCTATATAAAATGGAATCAAAGACACTGGAAAAAGTAAACATTGAGAACAACGTTGCATCCAAATAGCAAGAATTGTGGTGTCCCTGAATGCCTTTAAATTTTCCGCATATCTCTTCTAATTCATCTACATTTTGCACACCTGAAAAACGAATCAGTTTTATTATGAGAGGTCACATCAGTCAATAAATATCGATTGTGGAGCACGCATTTAATACGTAATAATAATATATATAATAAAATAATATATATTGCGTTGTATGATTCAAAGCCTGGCAAATGTGCATGGATGGTTTATATACTTACCCAATGGTGGAACAGCGCCTAACACTGATGGACAATCAACGTGGCCGAATTTAATTCCGTTAACGTCAGGTGATATCGTGCCAACTAAGCAGCTGCCCTCAGTATCGACGAATCTATGGTCACTTGCACATTTATTAGACGGCACAAAAATAGCTCCACCTTCACGACATTTAAATAATCTGGAAAATATAGAAGCTAGCTCAATAATATGTTAAACTTTAATTTTAATCGCGGAAAGCGACACATTCTCTTGACAACTGCCACCAACGTTTTCAAAAATATAAAAACGGCCTTAAATTGTTTACATAAACTTACCGAACACCATTAAAAGTTCCATCAGATGTGTTAAGATTCCTTAAGTTTGGATCATCTTCAACTTCAATGCCAACCATTATGTTTGTTGAATTTGGAGGAATGCCGATCCAACGAATTACGCCATAAAAATCACTAGGTCCAGAATCCGAAACCTCAACGAGAGATCCGATTGTTAGCTTTGTGCCAGGTATTTCAGATAATTGCTGGTAGTTTGAATTCTCTAAAAATGAATAAGCATAAGTTCTGTTATATTTTGGAAACAAGAACCCTCAAAGCTTATTGAACCTATATATTTTTCTTGCGAAAATGTAGTTTTAAGATGATATCACAGGGTTACTATCATTGAAATTACATTTGTTACAATTATTTATAAATTACATGGTTCTTTTTAATCTTGTTTGCAGTCGTCGGTCCAGATTCAGATTCAGAAATATAATCTTAAGCGAACCGACTTTGTGTGTTTTGTGCATTCCTCACTTCATTTAATTTTATAATATAACCGGATGTTAAATCACCATTTATATACCCTAAACCTATTGAAAATGGGTAAAAAGGGTATCATGTATTTGAGTAAATGTATGTTACAGGCATAAGGAAGCATCTCCCCATAAAGTATATATATTATTGATCAACATCAATAACATCTCCCCATAAAGTATATATATATTCTTGATCAACATCAATAGAAGAATCGATCTAGCCATGTCCGTCAGTCTATCTGTCCGACTAATTGTCCGTATGTATAAACGCAAAAATCTTGAAATCGCTAAGAGCTAGAATGCAGATCATTTTCAGATTTTCATGTTCTGAACATCATCATAAAAAAGCCGCTGCCGTAGCTTTATAGTCGATTGAAATCCATCGAATACTTGTCGTGTCTTTTTTTCATCTCTAGGTAGATGATTTGCGCAACTTTGATCTTGCAAATTACAAATCTACAATTTTTTCAATTTTGGATATGAGCGTGTCTATTATATTATTGGGCCGATCTCTTATGAAGGCAGTCTTTTACGAGTAGTCTAAATGGCAAATTAGACTCTAGCACGGACGGACTGCGAGACTACACTCTGTAAAGTTAAATTAAAAAAATCTATAAATAAATACCTTCAAAACAGATCTCTCTTCTTGGTGCATTGAACTCCAAAACAGTCAACGGAATATTGTACATATTTTATGAATATTTATATATGACTTTCTCAGCCAATATATTTTTATGTTTGTGATGATTGTTTTAAACAATGATTGCAACAAAAACTTTTAATAATCAGCGGTGTATGAATAATGAAAGACAAACACTTTACGACATGTTGCGCTATAAAGTTATATATACCATGTGTTTGTATTTACAAATATAAAAATAGCAGAGGTTTTAGAAATATTTGCCAGGGTATATACCCTGTTTGTCAATTTTGTTGCTAATGATTATTCAAAATTAGAAAGAAATTTGAGAAATGGTTCATTCAGTTATAAATTACTGAAGACACACATGAGTAAAACAATTGTAATATTAATCTTTTTTTTATGGAAAAATTCACTTGATCACGCAAAATATGTAGTATTTTTTTTGGCGAATATTCTATGAATGATTCATGTGCTTTTTATATATATACATATATTTCTAGTGTTTTCGGCCCGTTGCATTTTTCTCGCTTTAATGTTATTTAAAATTTGATTTATATAAATAAAAACTATAACAAAACACACAGACTTCTATGGAGAATAAAGTTTGGAACACAAATTTTAATCGAATACTAACAAAATAGAGCACTCGCATTATTGTGTTTGCAAATGGATACAAAAAATTGAGAGCCCTGCAATTGATGTCGAGAGAAATTTGCCGACATAAAATTACTCTTCCAAATAGCAAACGTGTCTCTTAAATAATGTTAATGAAATTCTCTTGTATTGTTACATGTGAAGGCAACCGACAGTGCTGTGCAAACAGAGTAGTAACAGTGAGTAGTAGTTAGTTAGTAATAGTAGTAGTACAATAACTAGAGGACATTTTTCGACCAATTTATGCTAATCACCTAGTTACAACAATTTTTTCCTCCGCTCCGTTAGGCATTAACTTTTTGATATGTTCTAAAAAAAATTTATTTGATTCGTGTTTAACATTTTTTGCAAAATCCACTTCCCTTGGATCAAAAATAGGTTGTAAAACCTATTTGCTGACTAAAAGCTTCGGAATTCGAGGTTAAAATAAGCGGAAAATGTTGATTCTAAACAGACAGTATATCCGAAACCTTTCCATGGAAAGACTTCGAGACAATAAAAATTAGATATATATTAATTGCGTACAGTGATAAACTTAATTGCGCTTAGGGCGCAAAATATTTCAGTTCTTACCAAGATTTGATTTGACATCTAAGGGTGAACTAGATAGGTCCGTACATTTTTCATTATTTTTGGAGAAACTTTCACATGTCAAACTAGATGATGGACATGCTTCCAATTTATTGTCAGAAGTTTTCGCAACTGATTGTGTTCTGTTTAACATCATACCAGCTCCTCCAGCATTTGTTGGCCAATTCGTGCCTAGCAAATCGGCTAGGTCCACGTTTTCTTTATCCTGAGAATTATTAACAATGAATACATTATGCTCATTCTTAGTGGACTCTTCAATGTCACTTTTATTTATGATAATAATATCCCTTTCATTAACGCTTGATTCCGTTCTATTTTTTATACCAAATAGATCTTTTTCGCTAGCAATATTTTTACGAAGGCTTGTCGCACTTTTTGCTTGATTTGTGCTCTTTCGCTCCGAAGATGCCGGAAAATTGCTCAAATATGTTTTAAGTTCTTTATTATTACATTTATTTACTTCGTTTATGGGCATCCTTTCATCAGTTTTGATAGACTCAGTCATTATTTCGCCTTCCGGTTTATCTGCGCTTCTGCCTGGCAAACTATCATAAAACTGAGCGGTGGGCTGTCGTTTCTTGTACTTGTTATCGTTTCGCTGAGCATGAAGATTCAAGTTTGCCGGCAATATGGCAGTGTACACTCGTTCAATAGTATCATTCATGAACTTTTTTGCAGATAATTTATGTTTGAGTTCACCTGAGACGGGAGCTATCCAATCCGCAGTGGCAAATATTGATAAATGCGGTTCGCAGTTCAAGTATTTTGATGCGAATGGAATGTCCTTGGCCTGCGGCGAGTGTCCACTATTCAGATGCTAGAATATATATATATATAAATAACGGTTTATTTATGATAAACGACTTATACGCACCAAAATTTCCAATCCAAAAAAATATCCAACGGGATTCAGTTCCTCCACTGGACCAATGTAACGCACAATACAATCAAAGCACAAATTGCCTTTTTTAAACAATTCGCCTTGCACACTGACAAGATCGTTCAGCTTCAGTGTAGTCAACCAGAGGCATTGCTCCTTATTGCACACCAGACGCAATCGACTTTCCAGATTTGCAATGCTGATGACAAATGGCCAAATGTCGTCTGCTACTCTTACCAAATAGCTTGACTTGATTTCGTAAAATTGCGTATTTGTATAAGTATTGAAATCTAAGATCTGTACAATACATTTCTCACTTTCTTTACCGTCTGGAGTCCCAATAATCTTTATTGACGACCCAGGAAACACCATTAGCTTGTCAGTACGTGTATTGGAATTGTTAACGTTAACATTGCAATCTGAAGAAGAAATACATCCAGATTTGGTAAGCTCAATCTGACGATTTATGAGCGCATATTTGGAATATTTTGGTTTAGTTTCCATCAAAATCTACTAGCATATATAAATAATCTAAATTCAAAATAAAGATTACTAATAACAAATAAGTTTAATCAAAGTTGAATAAAGCAGATATACGTAAAGTTATCGATAACTATTTAAGTCACAGTTTGGATTTGTTCAACACCAACGTTTATGCGTACAAAACAATTGTAAGACTTATAACGTGCTGTCACCGTTACTGGCATTATCATAAACAGCAATTTATCGATATATCAGCAGAGACAAAAAGCCGCTCTTTAGTGACAAAACGTAAACGACGAACAAGTGAACAAACGTTATTGAATTATTAAATTATTTTAAAAATATTATATGTTACAAATAAGATTGTTCTCTGAATTTACTTCTACCAACACCAACTGCAGCTACGAGCAGTTGGTTCAGTATATAACATAATACAAACGCAATTAGAAAACTCCTTATAGAATTCGGAAAAGATGTGTACATGAATTTGATCACATATACAGAAAATCTTGCAACATGCGCTAGCTGCCGCAAGCATATTTTTGGGGTTTAAAGCCCTCCAGGTATGCCCAAACAAGTGTCAAATGAAAATCAACAAAATATATACATGTGTTAAATATAAGCCTGGGATATTTGGTAGTCGGAAGTACCTTAGACCTATACACCCTTGCTAAAAAAAAAAACACAAAAAATATACAGTCAGGCCGCTGTAAATCCGTTCAGTGCAGAGCTTGTACAGCCATGATGCTACCCTGTTACCCATCACATTCCGGGGTCCGACCAGTGTGACCCAAACGACAGATCCCTGCGGAAGCGTTCCAGCTCCACCAGCAACTGCTCCCGCGGAGGTCACTCATCAAATGATGAGCCAAGATAATGGGGCAGGGTTCCGTTACAGGCAGGACATTCAGGTGTGCGCAGGAGGGACACCCAGTCAGGGAATATCACAAGGCACGCGTTGTGTTATGTTGGGTATGCGGATATCGGGGCAGTAGAAGCCACTGCTCGGATGCGGGAAACGGACAGTAGATCGGAAGTAGCTGCTAGAGTGAAGCAGTCAAAGCAAAGTTCTAGAACTCAGTCTACGACAGAGTGGTGTTTGGCGGAGATGAAACGCATGGTAAATTTCCCGTACAGGAGGCGGTCCTTAGGATGAACTACATACTGAAGCGATTGCGTCATGCACGATTTAGTTCCACACTTGAAATGCGGATACTGGCAGATATCGCAGCAATGTATCACGATTACAGTACTGGACCGAGGCTTGTTTCAATAGCGGGTTATGCCTTTGGTATGCCCTTGGCACATGCTACCTTCCAGCGGACGTTAGACACAGTAATAGGTCTGGGATGAACCCGATTATTTTTTTGCTTATTAAGATAATATTGTGGTAATAGAGGTGACGCAAAAACAACATTTCGAGAACCTTAGGAAGGTGTTCCACCGGTTGATCGCAGCCAACCTTAGGTTCAATGGAAAGAAGAGCAGATTTTTCACTAGAACTCCAGTAAATCCAGTTTGATGCCTACCGACAGGCAAGCTCAATGTAGTGGCTGCTCCACTATCAAAGCATCCTCTAGAGACCTATCAGCAAGCAGTGGTAGCAATCCCCCTGCAAATTGGTCGCGAGTATACGTGTCTGGATCTCCGGAGAACTGAACAAGTGCTCCGATTATGTCGAGAAAAACCGGCAATACAGCCATTTTGGCTACTAGACGGATGACGAAGACCATATTCCCTGGAAACTTTGCGTACTCAGTGGTCAATGGCAGAGGGTTCTACGGGAATGTCATGATGCTTCCACGGCCGGAAAACTAGTTATGAGGAAAGTACGCGAAGTGCTGTGAGCTCTGCCACAAGTTCAAGAATGACTAAAGGCCGTCAGAGTTCGTGGGACAAAGATACCAGAAGCGGTCACTTTCTTTGTGTCAGACACGATTGGTATCAGACTGGTATTTCCTATGCAGGCCAGAAAACCGCATCAGCCAACCGCAATGCACAACCAGGTAACTTCAGGGTCTTCAGTGAGTGCACTCGACCCCGCGAAAGAGCGAATAAGTAGAGCAAGATTTCCATATTGTCCACAGCAATCTACTAGGGAACTTCTAGGAATAGGGTAGGCACTACAACCTACGGTTACGGGAATGGCATCCTTCGCTGAAATCGACGGTGCTGTTGCGGCAGCTTCAAATCACTAACTCCGGTTAGTGCTTCGCTATGAAATTAGCATCCCGAATTCGAAGGCCATTATCGGGACATCAACTTCACAGCTGAAGCCTTTCTTCCGGGAAACAACCGGCGACAGGAAGGGAAAGGACCCGATCGTCGCAGACGAACTAGAAAGATCTCATTATTCTGTTTGCCTTCTCGGTTAATTTTTCTTTTATCGCGAGTGAAAGCTTTTATTGGATGTATTCACTTGCTTGGGCAACTAACGCGGAAGCCGGGACCAATCCGTCACCAAGCAAGTCGGCAAATGCAAGCTTCGGGAATACACAACATTTTTTTGCGAGATTTTTTGAATGTTTTAGTATTTCATCATGAAATTCCAATAACATTTTATTTTGCGCAGGATGAAGATCAATCATATATTGTCAATCATTTGATATAGTACATCTCTATCCATCTCGTTACTAGAAGCTTAAAAATATTTAGGAAAAGTAGTCAGATGGTTCCACTAAATAGATCCTGAAGGCTTCAATATAATCATACGATAACAAATCCTTCAAAAAACCACAGAAACAAACATTATATAAATATTATTTAAAATTCCTGGCCAAATCTGAAATTCATAAAAAGCTTTCATTTAACGATTTTGTTTCCAAATACATTTTACTTTCTTTTATTCTTGACGTTAAGATTAAATATATTCTCCAAGCGTCAAAAAGTCAAATGCAATCAATATCTCAGTACAAAGCAGAACTTGCTAGTACAATCGTAGGTTGAAACAACCCCTTAAGTTAAAGAGCGGGCCGCTCTCTTGCTTAAGAGAAAATATCCCAAAGAGTTACCATTTGTTTAATCCCACTTTTGTAACCTTTTTACATTGAATAAATACATATTGGCATCTATATAATAACTAATATAACTGTCAATATATTCCAAATAGAAAAACCATAAGCTATCAATACAAATTTTTACAAAGGGACAATTACTTGTTTAAGCCACCCCAACGGTTTATTAGTATACATTCCTCTACACTAAACAAAAAACCGAGAATATTCAAACTTTTATTTAACAGCCTCATATTTCTAAAAATATTTAAATAATAAATATCTTTAAAATAAATATCTTAAAGTTAATTTAAAAAAATATATATATGTATAAATCTGTGTGTGTATACATATATATATGTATATTATTTTTTTCAGTGTATTTAGAACATTATTTGAATGTCGCTGCCTGAAAATCCTCTCAGCATATTTCATGGGCACAAAATTTGTTACAATTCTTAAAACAACAAACGAAAATCGGTTTTAGTCCCGGGTTGTCTGTCGCTGGGTTATGGTCTTCCACTAAATATAACTGAAAACAAGTGTTTGTGATTTGGCTAACACCAAAGTATGTATGTTTATATAGAGACATATTTATATACAGATGTACATATGTAAATGCATGTAACATTCTGAAGGTTGTGAATTTATGTGCAAAAAAGAAGTGCAATAATATCAATTCAGCTCTCCAATAAACATAAATACATACACATTTATGTATATGCAGTATATACAGTGTAAATGCTTTGTGAAGCACGCGTAAAGTTATAATGTTGACAAATATATAAGTTAATACAAATATGTACATACATATATCAATGTTGATATAATTAAAATGACAATTTTTACGAATACCCATACATATACATATGCAGAATATGTATATGTATATGTAATCAAAATAAATATATATAAATATTTTATTAATATAATATATAATGTATGCATATATGTGTGTATATAAACGTAAATATCAAAGTTATTTATAACATACAATTACCGGGGAAATTTAAATGCGAATTTACGTCCTTGTATAGCTACGCTTCCATACATACACACATACATACATACATGCGAATATGCGTACATATGTATGTAGGTATATGTATGTATGTGAAGGTAGCATAATGATGGAACGTTTTATATAATTAGACTAACAACGAATACGAATAAATAAGAAGCGCACAAATAAGTTGAACAAATAAGGACATGCATAAGGACACACATATGTATGTATATCAAACATGTTATTATTAACACTATACAAATACAATGTGTGTTTAGTGGCAAATTGTAATTACATATGTACATATGTATGTACATACATCCATGCAATTGGGATGCTTGCGTTTGGAAATACAATGACTTTTAGAAAATAACAGAATGTTAACTGGACATGTACAAGCCAAAAGGCATATGTATATGTACATATACATATACATGTTTCAATATACATATGTATGCATGTAACTTTTCGCCTGCTTATAATTTGTATTATGACCACAAACGGTTGTTACCTCATAGGACTTTCATGTGTCTGCTATTTTGACCGCGTTGATTTTGATTTTTGTGTTTTTCTGATCAGCACACTGAGCACACTTATATAATGTACAAGCTGGTATTACCCGGCGTTAATCGGTCCAATGTTTTTGCGTCACACATTTAATAACATTGCCTTTCATCCATTTTGTTTCCGTTGTAAATTAAATTGTGTCCGAACAATCTTAAATTCCTCGTGAAAATTATATTTTAAGTAGACCTTTGAAAATCAGTGTAAAATCTGACCTCTTACATTTGAGCCGTGCATTGATTACCAATCAAGTGTGATTATCCAAGACCCAAAAAGGCGATTCCTCATGAAATGCTTACTACTTCGATCGCCCAGCCCCGATCACACTCATCTGATTTGTTACTCGGATAGCTGTGTGGTCTGCCGAGGACACAAGTTCGGTTCCCCAATAGTGTGACATCGGTACGAGGAAACCAATCGTTTTATCCGAGACACCCCGAAACTTCTTCTGCTCGTGCTACAAGCTCGTAAAAACAGGATTTCGATATCTATATTAATCGATTACTTGGAAATTGGG